TTTTTAAATAATTTCTCTTTTCCTTCTGGCCACTTTTGAGATCCTTCATTTTTGGTTTCACGTAACAAATCATGGTGTGGATATAATTTTACTCAGTAGACGTAGAATGGATCTGGATTCCTGTCTCTCTTATCAAGTCTGAGCATGTCTCAGCCTTTATATCATCACGTGTTGCTTCTCCCCATTCTCTCTACTTCTCTTAGAAATCGGATTAAATATATCTAGATGTTCTTATTCTGTTTTCAGTATCTTTTCACCTCATACTTCTCATCTTTATCCTTGCTGCCTTCTCATAGGGCTACCTTTCTGTTTACTAATTCTTACCTATGTCTAACCTGCTCTTTGGCTTACTTTTGTTTGTTTTTGGAAACAGGATATCTCATCGTGTAGTCCAGACTAGCTTTGAACTCATGATTCTCTGACTTCAGCTTCCTGAGTGCTGGGATTATAGGCATGTACCACCATGCCCAGCTTGCCCATATTTAAATTATACAATTTAATAAGTCTTGACATACATATAGGTGTACATGACCACAAAATCATAGCAACAATGAAGATAATAAGCATATCTATCACCCTCCAAGTTTTCTTCTATTGCTTTGTAATCCTTCTTTCTCTTCCTGCCCCGCATTCCAAATTCTCAGTCAACTTGATATGCTTTAAGTCTTAAAAGAGGTATGGGTCCTGACTTTGTCACAGCTATAATCCCAGCTACTCTAGAACAGAGGTCAGGAGAATCAAAGCTCAAGACCAGTATAGTCAGAAATGTTAAGACCCCATCTCAACAAAAAGGCTGGACATGGTGGTACACAGCTGTAATTCTAACTACTGCAATTACAGCTATGCATGGGAGGCATAGATAAGATCTCAGTCTGAGGTGACCTCCTGCAAAAAATCCAAGACATTATCTGGAAAATAAAAACAAAAAAGGGCTTGGGTATGTGTGTGGACTAAGTGGTAGAGCATCTGCCTAGCAGGGAGTCCCAAAATTCAAACCCCAGTACTGTCCTCCTCCCCGCCAAAAAAATAAAGAGTCCCCAGGAGACAGCAGTCCTTGCTGTCTGCTTTGCAGCGTGCTTTGCTTTCTAGTTTATCTTTCTCCTACAGGGGTAGCCCTAGCTGGCCTGGCTTTTCTAAGGCTCTGAGTCAGTGCCTCAAGCCTTGGTTTTATCCTCTGTCCCCTGTAATGTCACTGGGTACCCCCAGGTACCCTGCCCTCGGGAGACTGCCACCATTCCCACTCCCTGAAGTCTTCCCAGTTTGTGCTCTCATGTGCTCTTTGGTCTCTGGCAATTACTAGAGCTTAGCCACATATATGAAAACAATTTAATATTTTATTTAGGTTGTTTTATTTTTATGGTGATGGTGAGAGGAACTTTTTAGAGGCTGCATGGTTGATCTTAGTCCAGAAATAAAATTCCTGTTTGATTTCTTCTTTGAGCTTAGGAACAATGTCTGAAGCCTCTTTTGTCTTCTTCTCCCTGTGGTAATTCTCAGACATAACAGACTAGTGCTTGTCTGGCTGTACCTCCGTCTTCTGGGGCTGTTACTTAAAAATTTGGATGTCCTTGGTTTACCTCAAACCTACAGAATTAGAGTCTCCCTCTGTGTGTGAGACCTTCAGGGAGCTCAAATGCTTCACGAAGTCTGTGTGCAGTACCTGTAATAGCTCAGGATCCCTTTTATGTCCTTAGATCATCAACAGTATTGTTGTCTTCAAACCCAGGCACTCCTCCACAAGCTTCCTCCATCTTTTAAACATACTTCATAGTGTTTGTTCACCCTTCAGGCTTTGTTAATGAAGAATTTGCCTTTCAGCTCCATTTCCCCATATCATCACTGTTGTATATAACCACCAGCTGCAATGTGTCTTCCTGAAGAGCTGAGTAGTGAGCAAAAAACTGTTTTCTTTGGCACATCCCTCTGAACAGAACCTGGGCATCTGCTGGCCCCTCAGAGGAACACCAAGAGTGACTTTGACTGTGGAAGCCCACTGTGCAGAAGCCTGTGGCGCTGGCCCTCCGCAGGCCGCAGATGTCTCAGCTTTCCTGGCCCTCCATGTACTGTGCTTTTTTCTGCCTCATTCATCACACCCATGCTATAATGTGAGGTGATTGGTCACATAGTGTATTTAACATTAGCCTTTCTCTGACTTGCAATATGCAAATGTTCTTCATCAGATGCAGGCTCTGCAGCTGTTGCCTTTTTGAGGCCTAGCCGATTACACTTGACTGAAGATGCCTTGGTCTGAAGGCTTGGGCTGCAATCAATAGTTACCACTCAGTTGATCAGCGAAGCTGTCTCAATCCAGTGTTTGGTTAGACACTGTGCCCTTTGTGAAAGCCACAGAAAGGGGCCAGTGGCCACTTTAATTAGACCTGTAGCCCTAATCATGCTTTTTAAAGGTATAAATCTTGAGCAGAGGGAGGTCATTCCCTATATTGCCTGTCATTGCAACATAAGAGCCTGTACTAGGAAGTGATCATAGAGATTTGTGTTCTGAGAGAGCTATACAATGTTAGTTTGCCTTAGGGTAGAGGAGGTTCAAAGATTTATTTGTTGTTTTTATATATTCTTTAATTATCTGGCTTTAATTCCTTTAGTATAGTCATAAGAAAAGCTATTTATTGGGCTGGGGGTATAGCTCAGTGGTTAAGTGTTTGCCTCACACATACAAGGCCCCGGGTTTGATCCCCAGTACTCAAAAAAACAAAGAAAGAAAGAAAGAACGAAAAGCAAAGCTATTTATTTCTACATTATGTCAGATTTTAGGAGGCTTACAAAGTTACTTTCTCCCATTGCTACTAGGTCATTGTGGTCATTACCCCAGGGAAGGAAGGAAAGAAATGGCTAAATGCACAGTAGGAGATGGTCAGTGAATAGTTGCCTCCTTATTACTAGACACTAATTTCCTCTACCTTGAGTAAAAAGCCTTGAAAAGCCAATCACTTCTTTTTCCCTCCTCCTTTCATTCCTATTCATTTCTTTATATACTCACTGAGTGCTTTTCATGGAACTGTGCTAGGGACTGAGAATATGTCAGTGACTTCAGTCCTTGCCTTCATGGATTTTGCTTTTTAGTGTAAAAGGTTAAAAAAAAAAGAAAGTAAAGACCTATGTAGTTATGTAGGCATTGTAGTTCCTAGAAAATGTTTTTGGAGTTTATTCTGAGTATAATAGGAAGTTATTGGCTGGTTTAGAAAAGACAATGACAGGATTTAATATGGCTTTTGAAAGCCTCATTCTGCCTACGAGGTGGAGCTTAGATTGTAAAGGTTAGGTGGTTACTAAAGCAGAAGTGAGAGAGATAGGGAGCTTAGTTGTGGTGGTGATGATGGTGATGACACATACATATAAAGATCTATAGATTTATAGATCTACATATATACATCATCACCATCCTGTTATCTGTATATACATATATCGGTAGCCTGTAGGAGTTGACAGATTGCTTATAGGGTATGAAAAAGAATGGGGTCTAAAATAACACCCTTTTTTGGCTTGAGTAAACCAGCCAGTGTTTTCCCATCCCATTTACTGAGATGGGAAAAGCAGACTTGGTGTAGAAGGGTGAAGAATTGAGAGGACACGTAATGTTTAGAGATCTATTGGATACCCAAATGGAATAACACCCGGGCAACTGGAAATGCAAGTGTGGAATTAGAGGTAGAAGTCAGGGTGGGTGTGTACACGTACAGTCAACAATTTGTAGACGATGGTTAAATAATGAGAGAGACTGAGCACAGGTGGTGAAGGGAAGCGTATACTACTGAGACTATCCTGCAAAGAAACCTAGAGAGAGAGAAGAAAAAAAAGAAGAGGGGAGGGAGGGGAAATATTTTTTGAAAGCTAGACTGGTGATCTATAGATAAATAGGAAGGTCAAGTAAGATAAGGATGGAGAATTAACCACTGGATTTCCCAGTGTGGCCGTGGTCATTGGTGTTAGTGCAGTAGTGGAAACCAAAATCTGACTAGAGTGAGTTGAAGAGTGGGAACAAGGAAGTAGTAGCAACTGTATCAAAGATGACTTTTTAAAGAGTATTTAAACCTGTAATCCTAGCATTCAGGAGACTGAGGCAAGTTTGAGGCCAGCCTGGGCTACATAGTGAGACACCCTGTCTCCTAAAACCAAAAAATACAACAACAAAGACTTTTCAAAGCAGTCTTGCTATTAAGGGAATCAGAAGAAAGAAGAAGTAGCTGTAGAAGGTAATGAGCGCAAGGGAGGAGCTGCTGTTGTTGGTTTTTAATACTATTTGTCCTGAGTCAGAGTGTGTGGGCACAGGTGCTAGTAACCTGATCATGAACTGAAAATAAGAGTGAGGGGGGAAAGGTGAAAGAGGATATCATAAATTTGAGCAGCAATGACATTACATGAAATAAACATTTTGGAGTCCCTAGGATTTTAGATTGCTTTAGGCTCTGAGATAAAACTGTCATCTCAGAAATACCAAGTACTCGTATGGGTGTTCTGCTTAAAAGGAGCAAAATATGAATAGTTCAGGCTAAAAACCACTAAGGCTAGTCAGGGAGCTTCTGATTTGTTAAGGGAACTTGTAAATGTCACTTGATAAATTTCATTTTGTAATTTTGGAGTTAGACTGCTGCCAATAATATATTTACCTGTTTCAGAATGCCAGAGGAATAAGTGGCTAAGCAATGAAGAGTCTCCTTCCCTTGGCCTCCCATGAAATTTCTTCTCCTGGAGTCTTGTCAAAATAACAATGTTTCCTTCCCGAGATACTGTATTGATCCATTTCTAAAAGCTGAATATAAAGTAATCCTTCCTCTAATTCAGTAAATCATTTAAAAAATGTTACTAGTATTGATTTATTCTCTTTAATTTATGTAAAAACAATTCCTGAAAAAGAGCAACAACGAGCATCTGTTTTTATACTGACTGTATTAGCAACTGCCTGGCAGGAGTCATATCTGTGATATTTTTCTTAAAAATTCTGTATATTTAACAAGGTCCTTTTTCCTTCTTTGTCTTTGCAGCTGATCTTGCATCTTTAATGGACAAAACATATGAGAGAAAATTGCCTGTTAGTTCTTTAACAATATCACGGGTAAGAACATTTAAACACTTATTTTCAAAGAAGAAGAAAGAAAGCAAGAAAGACTGTTTACATAGATGAGGCTGTGTAAAGAAAGAATATCTTTGTAGGAAATATCTTCCATAGTATGGCATGTTTTTGTAGCAGTAATAGATATTTTATGGTATGGTAGCAAATTTCTTTGACTGACATAAAAGGTATAAGTGTACCAGATTCCAAAGTTAATAAGCACTATTATGTATCTGATTTAATTTTTCTCAAGGTACAATATTCTGCTGTGTGATACCATTTTTTTCAGTTGGTATGTCCTTCAGAGTAGTAATATTTGGTCGTTAGTATTGGAAGTGTTTCTGGTAACTGAGAAAGTCTTTAAAAGAATGGATATTAATGTTAGACTGCTGCCGAGCAGTGAATGTTAACTCACTGTCACTGTGTGAGACAAGCAGTGTATTTATGTAAGACAAAGAGTGGGTCAGTAACTTTCCCAACTCCACACAGCTGGTAATTGGAAAAGATGGGATTTAAACCAGATACCTGTGACATCAATGTTCTCGTCTGTTGCCTCCCTCAAATATATCTGGTGTTATCTTAGTTATGAATTCACTCTGTGATATTGGGCAACCGGGCCCTTGTCATTTTCCTCATCGCCAGTCTGAGGACAGTAGTGTCTCCCTCAGAGGTATGATGTGATGCTAAATCAAATCTCTAGAAGCTTTTTGTAGAAATGAGCAGCACTACAAAATTCAAGGTATTATTAAATCTGGAAGAGGGAAGGGAAAAAGATCCTTGCTACCTCTTGACATTCTCCTTTTAGTAGGGAAACACTTCAACTAGTCATAACACATCTTTGCAGTCCTAATGGGCATATTTGAAAACTGAAAGACCATTGCTCCATCTCTTACCTGATGGACAAAACCCTCTGTGGGCTCATATCTGATCCTACTTTAAGAAGTACTCCAAGACTTAAAGAGCTTTCCTGTACATTTTATCACTGGAGCCTCATACTTTTCAGGGCAGGAGCCTTTATCCTGTTTATGCAGATGGAACAACTAAGTCCCAGAGGGGCCTGCCATCTGTTCCTACAACACAGCAAGCCATCAGGAGAGCTGGTTCATGAGCTCAGGGTCTGGGCTTGCACTACATTTTGTCTTCCCCTTTATGGATTTCTAAATCAAATCTGTAAGTCCTAGTTATTTTTAGATCATCTCCTCCTTTTTACTCTCTTTTCCTCTTCATGAGATTTTAATTATATTCACAACATGCATTATCCCCTTCTCAGTCTCCACTTTAGGGTAGAATCCATATTTGGATAATTTTTTGCTGTTTATTTGGACTGTAGTTATGGAGGATACTCAGAGATCAGATGGTTTGAAGGAAGCCTGTGGGTAGAGGAATCATAAATTGACTGGTGAACTTAAATCAGTAGGAAAAACTACTACAAACTAAGTTCTGTAAATTTAGAGTTTTATGTTCTGAGTAATACATTTCAGCCATTAAGTGTCTTCATCCTTCCAGCCATGTGTTCCAAGAATTTGGAGCTTAGGATGTAGATAGAAGATGCAAGGATACTAAGCAAGGTTTAGGTTTGGCTTTCCATCAGTTTTTCTGACTAAGGTTGTCCTACACATAGAAAAGAGAAGCCATGTATATGTGTTAGCATTTCAGAATGCAGCCACACCATGGTTCCAATAAAATGGCTGTCCTGGCTTTTTAAGGACAGTATGTGAACTAAACCAAATATATGGAATAACTTGTATTCAACCAAGGGTTTCTTGTCTCTTTTAGTTTGTAGACAACATATCATCTCGAGAAGAGGTAGACCATGCCGAGTATTACCTTTACAAGTAAGTTTCCCATTCTAGTTGGCTGTGTGTTCTCTGATTTCACACCTCCTTTTTAAAAAAATTTTTATTTTTGAATTAGCATACATTAATAATATGAGGGATTTTATTGTGATAATTCCATACATGTGTGCAGTGTACTTTGAGTAAGGTCATCCCCTCCATTCCATTGTGAACTTTATATACTTGCCCATGTGTAAAAGATACATGCTCTATACAGCATTATCTACAGTAGCAAAAGCCTGGAATAATCTAATTCTTATTAAATAATGGACTGGTCAAATAAATTATGATTCATCTTTTTCACTGATTTTTCACCTATCAAATATTTGTTGGAATGATGCCTTACAAGTAATTTTTTTGTGGTATTTGGATTTGAAATCAGAACCTTGTGCTTGCTAGGCAGGTACTCTACCATTTAAGCCAACACTCCCCACCAAACACAACTAAATTTTATTGTAATTCCCATTTTCCAAGTCTGATTTATAATTTGTCCCAACTTCTAGATTCCAAAAATAGACTCAGGTTAAAATTTCAAATGTTTCCAGTAAGCATTGCTTTAGAGTTCCCATTTGATTTTGATTTTGCTTTGTTTTGGTTGGTCAAAAGAATTTTTCAAGCTGGGGGTATTTTTAAAAGCTTACTCTATTTTAGTGACTTTGTTAAATAGTTTTGAAGCTTTTTTTTCCCCTGAATTGGGTAGATTCTACCACCTTTCTGTGATCTTTTTGCTGCTTTCTATTTAAATATACATCTCAAGTAGGCTAGATTCCATGTCTTAAAAAACATCTATTTTAATTCTAAGGTTGCTTTTAGCAGTACCCTAAATTTAAGTTCTAGGTCCTGACGTGATAATTGCCAAGTGCCCTCTTCCCCTTCATTATGGTAAACATAAGACATGGATCCCTAGTGAGTGGGAGTCCTGCTCTTTGGAACTGCAGCGCTACTTTGCTAGTTGTTTTTTGTCCATGTTTGGGCGGGCCTCCAAGTAGTTCTCTTTCTTTTGCTTTGTTCATGGCAAAATGCAGAAAACACTTCCAGTTTCTAAATTGAAACTGTTTCGTAGACTTCTGCCCTATGAGACACAGTACCATACCATACATATACTCTTGGAAGAAATAAGTCCCAAATTTCAGATATCTCTAACTTGTGAATGACTTCAGTGATTCATCATTCAGTATTTCCTGAGTACCTATTCCATGTCCAGGCCCTGTTCAAGGTTCTGACATACAGTGATGCAAAAGTTGGATACTCCCTATCCTAGATACTAAAGTATATCTGTAAGACAGACCTTCCATGATTAATTCTGCACTTGATGGCCTGTTTTGTGTGCCCACAGTGCTCCCGAAAGATTCATGAAATTGCTGTTTCCACTTTCCGTAGACCATATAGAGTTTATTGTGAGTCCTAGTCACTGATTGGTATCTTATCTTTCCCTTTTAATCTCTGTAACTGATGTGATAGTGGTGACATTGCTTCTCTAAGTTCTGTTCTCCTTTTTATTGCCAAAAAAATTTACTCTTTTTCTCAACTTTTCTGGGCCTTTCTCTCAGGGAATGGAAGTTAGGGACATTAATCTTGAAGACACAGGGAACTCCTGCTCCATGAAGCGTTCCCCAGTTAGGTCTTCAGTGGTGGCAGTCCCTTCAGGGAATGAATTTAGACCTTGCAGGGTGACCTAAGAATCACAGGCCTACACTGAGGAGACATAGCTACTTCTGAATCTCACGTTGCGTACAGCTTCTTGCTGACTTGCCTGTGGGGTTTCTCACTGTCCCGCAGTAAAGCCCACAGCAGGAGATGCACGTTGACTGGGCTCCTTCCCTGCCACAGCCAGTCAGCACGAGGCTCTGCCAGCAGAGTGCAGTACCACATCTTTCCCTCTTCTTGTGATCAAATCTCCCCTTTGGTTTTGTGACGAGTACTAGAACCAGTGAGGTTGGAGACCTTGGCTAGTCAGTGGAAAGCTGAGTGAACCTCTGCCATTTTATCAGGTACATAAGTAGGCAGCCCCTGGGACCAGTTCCAAGTGCTGTTGACACATGCCACCTTATCAGCTTGCATTCTGGAGAGAAATTGGCCATTTGAACCTGGAAGTTCACAGGTTTGAAAGTTTAGGGACTTCAACATTACAGAGTCCCAGGAATCTTTTAAGGAGGACTAGAAAGGCTGCTTTTGAGACAACAGACATGAGAGCAAACACCAGACTTGTATTTGAGCCATGGGCTGTTCTCTGGAGGCTAGCAACATCTAAAGTGAAAATAAGCCAAGAGTAAAAAGTAATTCAAATGGTGAAAGCTTAAGACAAAGTAAAATAAAATATGAAAGCTAAGGAAATAAGGCATGCTGTAAAAAATAAACTTAAATAAGGCAATAAAAAAATAACTAGGCCAGGTGTGGTGGCTACTTGGAAGGTGGAGAGCTAGAGAATCGCAGTTCAATCCAGCCCAGGCAAAAAGTTAGTAACTAATAGATTGGGCACAGGTGGTATGCACCTGTCATCCAGCTACATCAGAGACATTTGTAAGAGAATTTTGGTCTAGGATAGCCAGGGCAAAGATGCAAGACTTTACTTGAAAAATAAAGCAAAAAAGAATAAGGCTCTCAAGTGGTAGAGCACTGGCTTAGCAAGTATGAGGCCCTGAGTCAAACCCCAGTACCACCAAAAAAAAAGTAGAAAGAAAAAAAAATGACAATAGTTAAGCTATCTATTTATATACATATATAGAGAGAGGTATATATAGTTTATATGTATGTATATGTATGCACACACATATACATGTATTTTTTTTTTGGGCAAAGGATTTTTAATTTCCTATCCACATCTCATTAGCATTTGAAAGAAATAAAAAGGCTTCCCACCTTTGCTATACTATCATTTATTACATTCCTTAGAATTAGATTTGCATCTTTATTTTGCTCATGCAGAGACTAGACATAGCAATCGACTGAGTATGTATAAAACACATAGGCTGTAAGTATAGGCTGCTGCCTGGTCTGGGGAAGCAAGAGGACCACAAGGATCCCATGCAAGCAGTGGGGCAGCTGTGAAAACAATGCAATGCTTCCCAGTGCAGGATTTTATCATGAAAGAGCCCAGATGGGGCCACCATTGCTTCCAAGGGAACTAAGGCAGAGGGCAAGAGAGACTATTGTACAGAGTATAGTAGAACTGGAGGAAATTAGAATTACAAGATAAAAGGAAATCTCTCATTTTTTCTTATAATCTGTGGGTTTCTGTTGTTTGTTCTTTGAGAACCATTATCTGAGCCTTTTCTCTACAAAAGATCCCTTTGGGGCTCTGTCTGCCTGGCGTCAGTGTTATTTTACAGTGACTTTATGTACAATTTTTTTTTTTTTTCTTTTGAGAGGCAGGGTTTTGCTTTGTAGCCCAGGTTGCCCTTGTTCCTATAATCCTCCCTCTGCCTCCTAAATGATAGGGTTGCAGGCATGTCCCACCACTCCCAGCTCTAGATTTTTATAATGGCAACTTCTTCCTTTACCATTTTTGTGGAGGACATCTTTCCTGGACCACCTAGTCTGTAGTTCTGAGCTCTGTTCCCTCGATCCCTATGCACTGTCCACATGCAGATAAGTGAACCTGAAGGCAAGCTATGTCTCACCTTTTCAGGAGATCACATTGCATGTCATTGGGAAAATTGTGCCATTAGTAAAAGCCATTAGTCTCACTATTATAACAAGCTTTAACTATGCCTGTAGTAGTGTTTGATTACTGTACTAATGGAATGCAAACTCAAGTCATAAAGATTCCTCCTCTGCACTTGCTGTCCTCTTCATTGAGGATGTTTGCAAATTGCATTTTTAAAGGCTTCTTTAGGCTTTTGAGCCATTTAGGAGACCATGGTGGCTCACAGAAGCATGAAATTAAACTCGCTCCTCTTTCTGTCAGAGTGTTTGTAATCAGAGCTGATCATTTAATCTGCAACATAACTGTCATTCCTGAAGGATAAGTGATAGAAATTTCTAATGTATGAAATTCTTTTTCTATTAAGAATTTAACTATTTTTGAGTAGGCTTTTGGCTTACTCAAAAATGTTAGCAAAAATGTGCAAAATGTTGAACTGTCATGCAATGAAAAAAAGGTTATTGCAGAGCTCCATAGGAAGGTCTGTTTTACTTGCCTGTAGTTCCCTGTGTTGCCACTCAGTAGTGAGAGGAAGTCGAGGTTGTGTGTCAGGCTGTGTGCTGCCAACACATTCATCCATGTTGTACCTTGGCCTCAAGCATCCTTCATTACTTGCTTAACTGAACTGGCAGATACCAGGCATCCCTGGTGGGAGACGGATGGCAGGTCAGGAACAGCTGGGGTGAGGCAGATGGCAGCCTGCATGTCTCCAGGTCTTGGGTTGGCAGCTAGCCTAAAAAGGAAGGACCAAAATAGCTTCATTTTTCAATAAGCAAAAATACCCTGATGGTTCCTTGGAAGATGTGAGCACCCCCATTCTCACCCCAGCCAGGCCTGTGTTGTAAAAGTCCACTTCTGCCTATAGGGAGAGGGGAAGGTAGCAGTTTAGTAGGCAGGAACCACATGCAAGTTTACCCAGTAGTAATTTTCCTTTGAGGGATAAAGATTGCGTTTTATAGCAGTAAAAGGCAATCTTAAATTTTGTTAGCATGTTGCTAGGTCTCATTGTGCTTGCACATTATTAGGAAAAGAGCAAGAGCCCAAAGGGAGGTAAACAAGAGCATATATTAGTAACACTTCTAGACTTGAACATTGCTGAGTGCTTTGGTTAGTTACTGTTTTCTAATCCTTACCACAGGCCTGGGGGATGGTTAATTCTTATAAGTGGCTCTGTATTAGGCAATAACAGATTATCAGGGGAATGCTTTGCCAGGGACCACATGGGCTTGATGATAAGAGGTTGACCACTTTAGACTCGGTACTTCTTTTCTCTCTATTTTGTTTGTTTGTTTTCCACTTAGGAGCCTAATCATAGGAGGAGTATAATGGTGGACCTTCAACACTTCCCTGGCTTTGT